TGAAAGTCGGACCAAAGGCATTACCCAATACCCACTACTTTATTTTTTCACTCCTTTTCTCAGAAATCAAACGCAGCTATTTCCTAGGATATTGAATCATTGATTGCCTGTATGAATATCTGGAAACCAGCTAAAAACATCAAAATGATCGACTTGGGGGCCTTACAGTTTGAGCCTTAAGGTCATTTTTCAGGAGGGGGAATTTGGGGAAATGTTCTTAAGAAATTCTATTTCGTGATTCCTGCAATGCCATTTTCCCTGGCAACTAAATTTTTGATTGGTCAAATCTCTTCCGATATTGTCTGTTATAATATTTAATGTGGTGGAACATTTAGGCTATGTTTGGTTTGAAGAAAAATGCAGAGAAAGGAAAGGAAAGGTAGAGAAACCTTTACAAACCTTGTATAAGTTTCCCTGTCTTTCCCTTCCTTTCCCTACCTTTTCCTTCCAACCAAACATAGCTTTAAAGGTTTAGGGATTCCCCGACTTTTTACAAATTACCCTTCGCCCTTAAGATGACTGCTGACTGAAAAGTAATATATTAAGATATCAATTAATTTTTCTTGATAAATAATTAGATATTATAATCTGCAACTACTACCAAAATTTTTTAGTGAGGAATACAGAAAAAGAGCTTTTCACTTGTTCTCTCTTGACGGTCTTAGTAGGTTAAGGACATTCTCGTAAACAACAAATGTTATAGAGGAAGCAGGGACGTTTTTAAGTAGATGCGATGTGATACCCTTGTAAAACCCACGTAGCCCCTCAAACCTGCATGGTCAAGGGAAAAATAGTATTAGAAAAAGTGAGGTAAAGAGAATATAATGGTGACGACTGGCTAATGTAACATTTAATATTCTTTATTGATGCAACGTAAAATTGTTGAATTTAGAGTACTAGAACAACAACAAAATAAACACACAAATAAAACTCCATTTCCTCCTGAAAAGGTCTGTCTTCGCATCCATGGATGACTTAATGGTCCAGTTTGGGTTTTCCAAAAATTTTTTATATTTGCTTGATTGCTTCGCAAGCCACAGACAGGTCAAAACTGCACTGTAGCGGGGTTTGTGACCTGCTTGGTTCTGGTTCAGACACACCAAATGACATAAAAATTGCAAGCCTTTAAAAATAATGAACAATCAAATCACTTTGTCACTAAAAATGGAACAGGAGTTGCATGACGCCACTAAGGTTTCACTCTCTTAAACAAAGGAAACTCCTTTTGGGTCACGACAGTCGGGGCGGAAACTTAATTCCTAAGTATAAACATGACATGGAAAACAAACAGATAAATTGGAGTGGAAAATAGTATGCGTGCAGGCATGTATAACACGTGCACATTCATCTCTGGGTCTGTGTGTGAGAAAGGAGATCTTAGCCCAGATAATTAACTTCTGTCACACCATTTAGGTCGTCCAATTTCTATCTCCAGGTGTTGTCAATCCAACCATGGATTAGATGAAACTCCATCCCACTTGTGGTAAAAATATCTTCTTTTATCTATCAAAGAGCAACAAGATAGATTAATAAGATGTTAACTCGAGGAAGAAAAGAACTAACCGTACAGTTTCCTTTACAACATGCCAGCTATCAAGATATCTAGGAATTCCAGCATTGCTAGGGCGTTGCTGCAGAAAACAAGTGATATGCTTATCAAATGCACACCTCGAGAATAGAGAGAGAAGCAAACAATATATGCAGTTACTTTTGAAAAACAAAAAACAAGACATGCAGTGACAAGAGAACTTTTAAGGTCAAATAATGGTATTGGGTTGTCATCTTGAACCTACCAGTTCACAACATGCTCTCCTACTTACCATAAATAAATTAACTGATATAGAAAGGAAGGACATTTGATTACCTGTAGTCGTGCTCGAATGACCTGACATAAATGAAGAAAAGGTGAGTTACTCATTTGTTACACTGAACATGACCATTGTATAGTTGTACACAAACAGATTGCTGACCAGATATGGGTATGTCAGAAGAATGGCAGCAAGTTTAGATGATGCCCCCAGAACAGCATAATCAACTGAGTTCTGTGAAAACAAATAAATATTTGACTTATTCAACACATAGAATAGATCGAACAGTAAATGCTTAACTAGAAGTCTAGAAGTTTGGAAAGCCATCATATTCAATTACTCATCCATAACTTTAGTCATTCAGTTGTAGGTGTACGATATTTCAGCTTAACATGCAACCAAGGAAACAGTTTTCAAACATGGCACTGGATTTCAGGGTCCACATCAGCAGCAGCAGCAGCAGCAAATATAAGCCAGGCTTAATTTCTTGTGAAATCTGAAATCTATATCTAATATGTTCATCAGAGGATAATACTAAACCCACATCCACAGGTTACAAGGTAATTATTTTTGCTTACTAATGTGGTTACAAGTGAAGCTTACCCCAATGAAGTTCAGGCCATGGTCCTAAAAATGCCATTGACCCAGGCAGTCAGACTGTTTGACCTGAGAACCAGTCACATTACTGGTTTCTCTCATCACACAGATCACTTTTTCACAAAAAAACAAAAAACAAAAAACAAAAACCTGTTGATTTGGTCAAAGAATCACTGACCCAGATGGTCAAACCATTGAAACATTTGACCTGGGCTGCAGTTCATGAGCTCACTTAAATTAAATCAAATATAATTTTTTATTTGAAAAACTATCACCATTGTCATATCTCATCAAATCAACTTCATTTTTTTTTTCAAAATTTACAAAAAAGATGACAATATTGTCATCTCAACAAACCCTGCTATTATTTTTCAATACTTTTCTGTTTCAGAATTTGAGATGCTTCTCTTCGGTCTCTCTCTCTCTCTCTCCTGTCACCCCGGCACTAAAACTGTAAAACATTTAACTCTATTTTTAAATATTATTTATGTATATATATATTTATTAACTTATTTATGGAATTGCGGGTCAACCCATTCGATCTGAACAGTTGAACCGCTGACCCGGAAACCAAAGGGGAAAACAATTCCATTTCCAAGTTGGTTTTTAAAACATTTTTCAGACAACTTTCAATCAGAAGAGTTGTTTGCTAAACATAAGGAGCAGGAAATTGTGCCAGAAATTTATAATCAAGGTTCAAAGTATTGATACGATACGCCCGAGACGGGGCGTATCGTATCGTATCTTTTGGTCTCGATACACCTATTTACAGGTGTTTCGGGACCCCCATTTATTTCAATAAAAAACACTTACAAACATCTCTAAAAATCAAATTTTGAAAAAAAAAACTAAAAAAAACATTGAGCGCTTGGTTTTTAGTACTGATACACCCCTGTCGATACACAGGGGCATATCGATACTTTGAACCTTGTTTATAATCTATTATCATGAAAAAGATGAAGGTATAGGGTGCTAGGAATCAATTCTCTTATTTGCAGGGTAGTTAGTTCAAGCAGAGGGCTCTTGGGAAGCTGTCTTTTGACTGAGATTTTAGGGATATTTCTGTGATGCATGGATAATGTTATTGGAGAGGGATAATGAACTTCTATCACAAGTAATGCCAGACCCACCCAAAGCACTTACCTTGTTAGTTTAACACTGCTTAAGCTTAACAGCCAATAGGTGTCAAACAGAATAAAGATAAGAGTGAGAGATGAAAAGACTAAATTGATGTACATAATATTAAAAAACGGCCATTACCCAAGCACCTAGAATAATCTTATTGGAAAGGGATAATGAACTTCTATCACAAGTTATTCCAGACCCACCTAAAACAGCAGCTAATTGGGGCAGTTCTAAGGAGTTTGATCCAGCTGGAATTAGGCTCACAAAGTGCTTATCTTGTTAATTTAACACTGCTTAAATTTAACAGCCAATAGGGGTCAAGCAGTATAAAGAAATTAAGGCTATGTTTGGTTTGAAGGAAAAGGTAGGGAAAGGAAGGGAAAAACAGGGAAATCATAAAAGATTTGTAAAGGTCTCCCTACCTTTCCTTTCCTTTCCCTACATTTTCCTTCAAACTAAACATAGCCTAAGGGAAACAGTTTGTAATGAAGAGAAGATGGTGGGCCTTGGTGCAATGGCTGGGTTGCTCCATTGTGACCTGGATGACCAGGGTTCAAATCTTGGAAACAACCTCTCCGTATGTGCAGGGGTAAGGCTGCATAAATCTGTCCCTCCCCAGACTCCACATTGGCAGGAGCCTCTCATGCACTGGGCTGCCCTTTTTGTTTGTGATGAAGAGAAGATAAGAGTGAGCGACGAGAAGACTAAATTGATGTACATAATATTAAAGAACAGCCATTACCCAACCACCTAGAATAAAGATAGAAGCATAAAATCTAATCAAGTTGGTACCTAGAGACAGGTTCAACACCTTCAAGCTTGAAATCAGCACCAAACCATAAATACTTGAAGAACAACTTTCGTTCCACTCTTAAGTGGATTCAGCAGTTTAGTTCCTCCTCTTCCATTCTATCTAAGATCAATCTTTTCTTATAGAATGATCAGGAAAGAAACCAAAAAAATAACTTTTTCCCTACTATCTGAACCTAGGTTCTTGATTTTCTTGGCCTCCTAGAAGCTCAAATTTGCACCAGGTCTTCATTCATTGGTATGAAATTCAAATTATGGTGTAGTCTAAACTAAACTTGTGAATATCCACCAATAAATCATTGATCAAAAAGAAGATTTACCAACAATTTATCACCAGTGGCATGTTTCTTTGTTCCTCCTTTACTCTTAAAATTAATAACAGCTTTACGAAGCTCCTCATAAGCAGTAAACTGAATGGCACCATGAGAAACCTGCTGAAACAATAAAAATGACAGTCAGTTGCACCACTAGAGGCAATAAGGAATACAAGATTCTTGTAAACTAAGAGAAAAGATTTTTCATGGATTTATTATTATTATTATTATTTTTAGGGGAGGGGTAGGTAAATGGGCTACACAACAGGGGGTAGCCCTCCCCCAAACCCCTAGCTCCCCAACCCAGGTGAAGACAGGAATCAATCCCAGGTCTCCACTACAACCAGCTAAAGACTTTACCAGCAAGCTTGCTGACACCTTCAGGTTACGATTGTCTTTTTTCCACTAGAAAGCATTCATTTTCTTTCAAAAACCCATATGAACCTTGATCAATGAGGTCAGGTCCACTGCAAATACTAAATATAAAATTGTTTCAACATCTGCTTGGTCAAATTGGTTTCCCAGTTTCTTTTGCATTTTTTGTTTTATGGATCAGTAGCAAAGTCAAGTAGGATTTATTTATTGATGTAAAAAACAAATCACAAGCCTGCTCCTAAAGGGTTTGGTAGTAGAGAACAGCCTCCAAATCTGAAAATTCGTATCAAGAAATATCATTTAAAGCAATAAATGAATTACCTCAGTACGGTGGTCCCCTAGTACAAAGCATGTTCTGAGTCTTCTGACACTTGACTCCCTTCTGGATAAACTGCCAGAAAGGAAACTGATCTATCTGGAAATCCATTTGAGCACACTGCACATCCTGGCAACGAAGGACACCCCCCTACCCCAAGGTTCCATAATCAATTTGCTATTTGTTTTCTTGATTTTTTCCAGGCCTAGATCTATTCCTCAAGATTTAATTATAGCCATCTGAAGTAAATCCATGTTTATTGTTTTACATCAATTAGTGAGAACGACAAGGAAAAGGAAAGTCAAAGGAAAACCCAAGGGGCATTTAAAGCAATAATAGATTTCTCTAACATAGGAAAAATGAAGAAGCCATATTTATTACATGACATATTTTAGGGTCATGTGGCCACAATGCACCCTTGTACTAGAATGGAAATAGTATCCAAAGAGGAAACTAACAACAAGAAAGGTAGAAACAATGTAACAACTAGCAAGTTATTACACTTAAGGCCCATTTTTCCAGGTGCACTTTGTCCAAGTTCCAACTTCAAAACTTCCTAAACTTCAATTTACTAGGGGTATGATTCCCCCATCTTTCTTGGACATGAATCACTTAGCATGCTTCTATTATTCCTGAATCCATGCATCTTTTATATCTAGACTCCATAGCATTCCCATCTGTGTTTTCTTGACATGAGTATCCATAAAGTATCTCCAACTTTAGCATCAATTACAGGAAAATATGGTTGCAATGCAGCAAAGGGATACACCACTCAAGGAGCATCATAGTTGTCAATATATAAAGGCTTATATACTTGAACTGAAGCAGAATGTATATGCCAAATGTCATGTAACATGATTCATGCTAGTACTTATCATTAGAGAGAGAGAGAGAGAGAGCTTACAAGCAAAAGGCCAGGCCCAAGTCCCTTGTAAAGTGCACGCCATCCTTCTTCTTTCAGTATGGTTCTTAAAGCATCTGACATGAGAGGGCATGTGCCACAAGAATTAGACATTAACCAATTGACGATAGCCCATAATACTGTTGGGCATTAGAACTTTTTGTTTTTTTGTTCTTCTTTTTTACCTTTACTTTGTGATGGTTTTAGACTAATGAGGTTTGGTTCTTCCATGTCTCAATACCCAAAACAATTGATGCAAATAGTGGAGAAAAGAGAAATAAACCATGAAAGAAGAAAAAAAGTTTTTCTGGTACAACAACGGCAATGTTGCAATCTTTGGCGGCGACTTGATAATTGATCCATTTGTGTTTTTTAAGAATTATTTCTAGTACCCCATTTTGTATAGTAAATAATAGTAAAGTTCCATTAAATTAAAATGATTACAAGATCGGTGAAGGGCTTTCACCACACTCAAAGTACAATCAATCTTCGAAATAAAAACAAAAGAAAAAAAAAAAGCAACCACCTACTTCCTTCATCATCCCTAAAATAAGCCATCCTATTCTACTATTATGAACGAACTAAACCCACATCTTCTGTTAAAGAAAGAGCCTTCTTTTGTGCTACATAAACCTAGTAGTTTTTCTTTTTCATTTTAAATGGGCATACCATTTAAGCTTCACTGGCCCTCATTTTATCAATCAAAATTATGCTATCCACAAATAATCAATGCTACTCAACCTCCAATTTTTTTTAGCAGAAGCCATGTTTTATATATATATATATATATATATCAGTAAGCATGTATTTTATTTAAATTTCAGATAGGAAACAGTTTATACAACTTGGTGATGGGAATGACCCAGTTCTCTTTACAGCAGAAACCATGTAATTACCAAGAAAAACAGTTTGATGTTTCTGATGTCTCAATGACCCAGTTCTCCTCTTTAATAAATTTCTAAGAATTGTGCATGTAAACAAACAAATACGCATATATCACATATGTATGTGGAAATATGTAGCTTTATCAAGCTAAAGTGCTAAACATAAAGTGTGGGGCATACCATGAAACCCAGAATATGGTCGAGTTTGGTGAAGAGGATTCTGAAGTTGCAACCTTGTTTTAACAAGCCAAATTGGATTTGTGCATAAACAGACCTGACAAAGCCATACAAATATGGGACTCAAAATATGCTACTTACAACATTAGTCAACTCCAAAGATATAGTACATAGGGTAGAAAAAAAAGCAGCCCATCAGGCATTCAATAGCAGATTTCAGCTGCTTAGCTAAAGTAGACAAGAATTTTGATACCACACGAGAAAAACTGAAAACATCCCTTGTTTGAATAGGGGAATCCAAGGGAATCCTGCCAATTCATTCCACAAGCAGTTGAAGTACTAACCAAAGCACCTGCTTCTGCAGCTGAAACAAGATGAAGACCAGCACTAAGCTTCTCCCCACTGCCTTTAGAGTACCTCTGTTTAGCATTATTATAACTACAGAGGAAAAAGCCTAAGTTATGAACTAGAAATAATGAAATAATAGCACCCAGGTCTTTTACATCCTCAGAGAAATCAAATTAGAAAATCAAAGTGCAAAATAGCTTACCATTCAATTTATTTAGTTTTAACCATAAACCAGAGAAAAATTCCTAATGGACTAAAATGAACCTACAAAATAGAATAATTTGGAACAATCGATTAACTGTTCTTTAAAATGGTTTGGGACTTATCATGTAAATTATAGGATGAACATCAGGTGCAGCTATGCACAAGATTCAAGCAAGAATCACATGTTAAGTATTCTAACCACAAGAATATCTCCTTTCCATGGAATTCTCATATAAATTTCTTCAATGATTTGATCATAAACATTCAAAAGCCTGCTGACTCAAATTTGTTCCATGATTATCACAATAAGTTGCTTGCGATCCACGCACCAACTTGTTTTAAACTCAATGCACAGACAAATAGGTAAAGGAATATACAAGTAATGTGGAAAAGGGAGTCACCCATTGAAAAAAAGGCACCCAGCAAACAATAAATAATGATTAGCAATAGGTTGCATAGAAATTCAATTGAATATCCCACTTTCTCTTGATGGCTAAACTAATGAGATCGTAATAATTGTATAAGGTATATAATCCTAGATCACTCTAGAAACTCAAAAGCACCAAAAAGCACTTACAAGAGGAAATATAAACCCCAAGAAACGGTTGAGCCAAGAACCGCTGGGTAGAAACCTGCATAGAGCCCCTTCAACCCCTGAAACATGCATTGGCATATTATGAGCCACAGAATCCAACAGTCCAACACGTTAACTAGGCAATAATTGGTAAATTGTAGTTTGAAAACTTCAAAAGATGATATGAAAATTTAATGATGATGGGAGTGCAAACCAGGTACACTTAGGATTGGAAATGTGACCTTCTCTAGTACCTTGGTTCAATAATCCATAACAAAGGAGAGTTTTTTTTTTGGATAAATATAACAAACAGTGGAGAGATTGAGGAGAATGTTGCACATAGAATTAGAGAAGGATGGCCAAAATGGAGGGGTGCATCCAGAGTTCTATGTGATAGGCAAACATCACTTAGATTAAAAGGAAAATACTATAAAACAGTTGTAAGGCCAGCCATGCTATACGGAGCAGGGTGTTGGGAAGTCAAGAAACATGTCCAAAATATGAATGTGGTAGAAATGCATATGCTAAGATGGATGAATGGAAAAACTAGAAAGGATAGGATCAGAAATGAAGTCATTTGAAGGAACCTAGAGTAACTCCAATAGGTAATAAAATGAAAGAAAGTAGACTAAGTTGGTTTGGCCATGTGCACAGAAGACCATCAACAGCACCCATAAGAAACTAATACTCTTGCCAGAAACTAAGAAATAGCGACGGGACAGTCTCCATTAGGGAGGCACCATTGCACCAGGTGTCTCGCCAGAAACTAATCCTCTTGCCATCCCCTAAATTTAGCCTAATCCCTTGGATAAAATGAGGATAAACCTTCTCAATTCCTTTCCAAACTGAGCAGCCAGCAGGCGAGGGTGCAGGTCCAGGGTCCCATCCATAGTTTCTAGTTTCAAACTTTTCCGCAATTATCCGCCTCCAGAGAGCTTGGGGGCTAGAATTAAAGAGCCACAACCATCTACCTAGGAGAGCAGTATTTACCTGCCTAAAATTTCTCACTCCTAAACCCCCCTGCTGAGACAGGTTTGCATATGGAATCCCACTTAACCTGATAGATCTTTTGTTCACCATCCTTCCCACACCAAAGGTACTTCCTTTCTAGCTTTTCCATCCTTTCAGCCACCTGTGTTGGGAAAGGAAACAGAGATAAAAAGTGGATAGGTAGATTTGCTAGGACACTTTTCAACAGAGTAATCTTAACTCCCTTGGACAAATACCTGGACTTCCAACCCCCCAACTTATTCTCTATCCTTTCAATCACTGGGTCCCAAATGGATTTGAAGTGACATTTTGCTCCAACTGGAAGACCCAGGAACCTGAAAGGGAGTTTTCCCACTTTACACCCAAGCTCCACAACTAGATCCTGGATATTATTGATCTCCCCAACTGGGATAATTTCACTTTTCTGAAAATTCACCCGTAATCCAGAGATCACCTTGAACCAAACCAGAATCATCCGAAGATTACTTAACTGCTCCTTTTCTGCCTGAACAAAGAACAAAGTATCATCTGCATACTGTAGTAAAGGGACCACGGTTCCTTCCTCTGCCACTCTAAAACCTTCCACACARCCTTCAGCCGCAGCTCTTTTAGCTAATCTAGCTAAAGCCTCCACCACACAGATAAACAGCAAGGGAGAGAGGGGGTCTTCCTGTTGAAGACCCCTCGAACTTCTAAAGAAACCAGAAGATGACCCATTCACAAGTACAGAAAACTTAGCAGTGGATATACACACTCTGACATAACTTCTCCATTTCTGGCCAAAGTTCATTTTCTGCAACACCAAGTCAAGAAACCTCCAGTTTACATGATCGTAAGCCTTCTCTAAGTCAATTTTGCATACCACCCCATTGCTGCCACTCCTTAACTTCGAGTCTACCAGCTCATTAGCAATAAGAACACCCTCCAGTAATAGTTGACTGGGCAAGAAAGCCCCCTGCACCTCTGAAATGATCTCAGGAAGTACCTTCCTCATTCTATTAGCAAGGGGTTTCGCCAGAATTTTGTAGAAACCTCCTACCAAACTTATGGATCTATAATCAGAAATACGCATCGGATTCTGAACCTTTGGAATCAAAGTTATAAACGTAGCATTTAAGCTATGCTCTAAGGATGCTCTTTCGTGGAAATCCGACATAGCCTTCATCACCTCTGGCTTTATGAAACTTCAACATTTCTTTTTTCTTTTTTGTTTTTTTGATCAATAACAACACTTTTATTAAAATAGATACGTAAGATACAACCAGAAACTCCAACATTTCTTGAAGAATAGCATTGTGAACCCATTGTGTCCAGGGGTCTTCTCTCCCTCTAGACTTTTAATAACCCCCCAAACTTCCTCTTCTGAGAAAGGTTTCTCTAAGTCTTCTCTTTGATTGTTGGAGAGAGCTTCAAACAAGCTCCCATTCAGACCTGGACGTACCGGCCACACCTCCTTATACAGGTTCTTGAAGAATTTCACCACCTCCCTTTTAATAGAAGATTCCTCCTCAATAATCCTGTCTCCCACCTGCAGCTTCTTCAAAGTATTCTCCCTTCTTCGACAATTAGCCACTGCATGGAAATACTTTGTATTTTTGTCTCCCACCTTCAGCCAAGAGATTTTAGCCCGTTGTCTCCATTTAATCTCTTCCTGATATGCTACTTTGTCAAAACACAATTTTAACTCAGTCCTAGCTGCCTTCTCTTCTTCAGATAGGTTCACCGGCTCTTCTTTCCTATCCAGTTCTACTGCCTTAAAATTGTTTTTCTTCCAGTCTAGAATTTTCTCTTTCAACATCTGTAGCTTCTTTGCAAGAATATGAGATCCTGAGCCTTCTACCTCAAAAGATAACCACCACTCCTTCAACTTCTCTTCAAACCCAGCCTCCTGAAACCACAAGTGTTCAAACCAAAAAGGACCTGGCTTCCTCCTCAGGCCCTCCCCCTAAGAAGAATAGGCCTATGATCAGACACAGGTCTTGGTAGGGCTTCCTGAAACAAGTTAGGGAAACTTTCCTCCCACTCCGTTGACACCAAAAATCTGTCAAGCTGAACTAAAGTAGGATCGCCTTGGTTATTAGTCCAAGTGAACTTAGCACCAGACAACAGCAAGTCCACCAGACCATGTCTGTAAACAAACTCACCAAAAGACCGCATCCCCGTAGTCCTTCTCACACCTCTACTTTTCTCCTGTGGGAATCTTATAATGTTAAAATCTCCGCCTATACACCAGGGAATATTACCCCTACTCCTTATTCTGCCCAGCTCCTCCCAGAAGTTCTGCCTTTCAGCATCATCATTTGGGCCATACACCCCAGTAATTGTCCCCTTGAAATCTCCTGTCCCTACAACTTCAATGGAGACCGAGTAATTTCCAACCATGGAGTCACTGATCGTGACAGTATTGGAATTCCATACTACTAGAGTTCCCCCTGCTGTTCCTGAAGCATTTAAACATCTTCACCTGCATTGTCCATCCCCAATTATTTTGTCTAGACCCAACTTGAAATAATTTACCCAAACTCCTTATTAAGTGATGATTGACTTAGATAAGGAGTTTTCATCCTTCTATCCTTGATCAATAGCCTTACCAATGCCTGCAGAGGTGGTGATCACGTGACACTATCACAAAATCCAATCAACAACTATTTTTGATAAAAAAATATAATGTTAACCATTGTTCAAAATATCGATACGCCCGATACGCCGGTAGGGGCGTATCGAGCAAATCGATACCTTTTTTTTTTACTTTTTTTATCTTTTTCAAAACCGGTTCAAGGGGGCCGGTTTAGAGCTCCTCCACCCCCTGAACCGGTCAGACCCCGACACACCCACTGTAGGGGCGTATCGGAGAGGTCCCAGAACGATACGTATCGGCCAATATGGGCTGATACGTGTCAATACTTTGAACCTTGATATTAACCAAAAAAATTAGGTGGGGTCATATGCCAAGTAATGTGGACATAACTAATCCTTGGTCTGGTTGACCTAGACCCCCATGAGCCTTTGATCAGGATTCATTTCAGGTCAGTGTCAAGTCATGTGGGTGCAACTAATCCTTAATGTGGTCAACCTGGGAACCCATAAGCCTTTAATCAGTAATAGTTCCAATTCTAATCTTCAAACATGTAGCCAAGAAAGCTTTCAATCACTGTCATTTGAGTATCAAGCAGTTAACGTTGAGAAGTTGGGGTTCTTCTCAGGATAGGTTCAATAACCAAACTAATTCCAAATAGCATTAGTGATAGAAAGTAATGTTAACCAAATAGATTCAATGCTATAATTAACTAAATCACAATGTACCACTGGTCACAACAGAATACTTGTTAATTACAAAGAAAGCATTGAACTCCATTGATTGAAAATGAACACTAATAGCTCTTAACTGCTACTATGGAGGAAAAAATTCTAAAAATCCAAGAAGTAGAAAGCAATAAGGCTAGAAATCTAGGAAACAAAAAAAAAAAAGGATCTTGTTGAGAAGTTAGATTCAGGGGTACCTTGCAGCGGGAAATTCTATTTTTACTATAGATGACATTGAGAGAACTCCTTTGGCAACTCAATCTCTATAATAAACCCAGCTTTAATGGCTCAGATTTTATCTTGGCTAGCCCAGCCTTTGATTATTTATTAATCTTTATTAAAGAATGACAACCTCATGCACTGGGCTGCCCTTTTAGCCATTTATTGCCTAATCTTTTTCTCTAAAATCAATAGTTGTGTTAATCTTAACATTGATGGCTAAGGTTCAGTCTAACTCAACTGTTAAATCTTTATCACGTTTCATTCTACTTTTCAATTTTCACGTGAATAAGTTAGCACTTAATGCATCTAAATTATCTAATGCAAAAACCTCTACGCTGTTTGTCTTTAAATATTGACCAGGTAAAATTGCAATTGCTTGAAAATGCAAGATATAGCTTGACTTTAAACTATAAACATCAAAAGGTCTTGCATGCAATAATTTTAGATGTAAGCAGCCCTAGCATTCGACTCCCTATGGACCAAAGTAGTAATGTTTACCTGAGTATTTCCACTTTCCAACAATTTATAAGACATCATGTTCAGAAAAAAGAGAATTCGGTTATATAATGCTTAACATAGATTTCCAAAGTAGAGCCACTTAGGTATTTATCACTTGGGTGACTAAGAACACTAAAAATAATTTGAGGTACAGCAAGATTATTTGATGCCCTTGTACTTGGCAAACGTGAACTCAAATTTGATTAAGGATGCGATCTTACAATTCATTGACAACAAGCTGAAATATCTAGGATTTATATGTTTATCTAACTGAATTCAGTATAAATAACCAAACCTGAATACGGAAGGCTTACATAAACCCTAAAATCAAGAAGGGAGATAACGGAAAAATGCAAAACAGGGAAAAGAACTAACCTCCGTTCGAGCTATCGTGAAGATTGCATGTCCAGTATTCTTGTATAGTGGCAGTCCGGTGACTTGGCCATCGTTAACTAATAATTAATTAAACAATCAACAGGGGGAAAAAAGGAAGTGAGAACATCGATCACGAACTCACAGAATTGGAACACGAATCCTCATGAGTAAATTCAAACTACAAATTAAAACATAAAGGTAAGCAAGAGGTAATAAACCTTGAAACCTTGTACGGACGACGTCGAGGGGATACAGAGCAGCTACAGTGGCGAATCCAGCAACAGCACCTGCCGTCGCGTTCTCCCATTGCCACTGTCCTCTATCTAACGCACCGGACATTTGCCTCCCGCACACTGACGCGGGCGCGTGTGCGTGTGCGTGTACAGAACAGAGACACAGTAGAGGGAGGGAGCTGATGTTTCCCCGCGAAATTTGAGGAAGGAAACATGCAGTGAAGACTGAAGATTTTGGTATCTCGTGGGACACCGTCTTAAAATAGGTGGTATCAATGGATGTAAGATCTTCTGTCGTAGATACGAGCTTTTCTATTATGGATGCTCAATGAACGGACAGATGATTGAGATTTGTGTGGCACAACCAACGTTCTCTCTCAAGTCTCAAGCGTCAAGCCCCACGTTTGGGAGGACTGAATCCGATTTCCGTTTGGGAGGGCAAAGTTACAGGACGTTCCCACTTACGATTATACTCTTAATCCTACTCTTCAGGGGCGGTGCAACTTGGACTAAAGCGGGTTAGAGACAACAGAGGCCCAACCCAAAAACCTGACTCCAGCGCAAGCCCAGCTTTGAGCAGTAAGCCTGTAACCTGATAATCTAATATGAAATTATGAACAATTAATATTTCGCGTATGGTAGACATAATAAACCAAAATCTCCTATCAATCTCTTACGATTGCTACATTAAAGCTTATACGGGTCCCGCCAACTCATGTTTAAAACTTTAAATGAATTTGGGACGAAGGTACAATTCATCATCATGATCATCTAAGTCTCATGTTTAAAATTTTAATGCTATGTTTGGTTTGAAGGAAAAAGTAGAGAAAAGAAAAGAAAGGAAAACCTTTACAAATCTCTACCTTTCCTTACTTTTTCCTTCAAACTAAACACAGCCTAAATGAATTTGGGACGAAGGTACAATTGCTATATGAATCCATCTAAGTCTCATCTCAATCATATGGGTCGGTTACAGGAATCTTGTTTCATCATTCTGTTATATTCAATGCTATATCAATTATTAAATTATGGATAATTAAGGTATAAATAAAAAAAAAAACAGCTAATATCCATTCAATTAGAATCTCTATCTTGTATTTGTAAAATATAGTATGGAAACACAAGTAAAAAGCATGTTTTTGAAACCACAAGTTCAAGAACATTTTGATAGATTCAAATTTGTACTAGAAAAAGATTGATGTGTACCCTACCATCAATGACATGCATTATGTTTTTTTTTTTTCCTGTTTTGTTTTATGCCAAAAAGTAGCAAAAATTGTGCATGTTGGACATGAACTCACAGTGGTTCTTGAAACCAATTTGCCTGCTCTTCCAAGGCAGTCTAGAGCATCTCAGAAAACAATCTTATTCAAATCATTAGAAAACTTTTAACAAGTATTTATGGAAATGACAAATTATCTTCTAAAATTTTATGTAATAATTAACCATATAAAATTCCATAAATACTGTTTTAAGAATTGAAAATCATAAAAACAATCACAAATAGCTCAGAAACAATTATGATATGTGTATCAATGAAAAAACACTTGGGCTGTGTTTGGCTGCAGTGCAAATAAATTTGTATTGATGCAAAACTATGGCAATGCAAATGGTTTGATTGTAAATTCTGACCTATTTTTGTTTTAAATTTTAGTTTATTTTGTTTGATTGCAGTAAAAATAAAGTAAATTAAGACATGAAATAGAATAAGGTAACAAAATTAAATGAGAATTTGCATTTTCTTCATTTGTACTCCCATGCATTTGTACTAATACAAATAAAATTGCATTGCAACCAAACACAGCCTTGGGTTCAGTATGTATAATGTAATACCATGTATTTTGTATTCATAACCCTTGTATTTGCACAGTTGCACTGTACATGCAGGATTATTTTCACACTAAGGTCAACCATAGACCAACTCAATGTGTTGATACTAACCAGGGACTATCAATGGACTCTAAAAGCTCAAAAGTCGATCCAATCATGCCAGATTCACATCTTAAGACATGCATTTACTTAATGACTAGATCAGATGTAGATCTGACCCCGTCCAATCTGATTAAGATTTAAGCCCAGTTAAAATTTATTATACATGAATATATTTATATAAAGTTCATAAATAATAAATTTTATCACATACGTATAAGTTAAATGGTTTGATTATCATACTGGAAAGACATAATATTAGAAAAACTTGCAACCAATCAATGGGTGTCATAAAAGAGATGACCAATTATGTGGTATTCATCAAATTCATGGGAGTGCTTTGATTGGTCAAATATTTTCTCGATACCGTTTCTTTCTGGTGTCATAGATTTTTCCTAAGTTAAAAAGTAATTAATTTGTTTACAACTTTTAATTTTTTTTGACAATAAAAAGATATATATCATATTTTGGATCAGATTCATATTTAAATTTGAGTTGAAACTTTGTCAACCAAATTTATATATACATGCATGAATTTGCATTATGTTATTCATACAATACATATTGCATGTGAAAATAATACATAAAACATCATATTATAATAATATTTTACAATAAACCACCTTTATGTATAAGTGCAACAATGAGGCTCAGGGGGGGATTCCCCAAGACATTAACCCTAATTTAACCTACTATACATTCTTTTTAATCAAACCCTACTATACATTGGGTTGGCATTTTTCAACCCTGATCCTAACTCAACCTAACCTAATTTTTGGGGTTGCATGGAGTTAGGTTTAGGTTGGTCCAATCCAATGTCCTCCATATCGATTAATACCTTTTTGAAAAATTAAATTGCACAACTTTAATGCCGAGACATCTTTTTAACCATTGATACCTTTCTTCATGGACTTGTGATGGTATCACAAGGGATTTAAATGGTTTCTAACTTACTGGATTAAGAGAAAGCTCTGTGCAAAAGATGACAGAATTTTCTTTGCTATTTGGTGGCTTATGAAGGTCCTTAAGCAATGGGATTCTCTGCGGGCAAAAACCCTATGCATGCCATGAAAACAGGGGAATCCCATCACACATTGGGAATATCTTCCTATGAATTTAAGATAAATGTATGGGAAATATTCCCAATGTATGAATAGATTCTATGGAAGTAGAATTGTTATTTGCAAGAGATCGAGACTTGGTCCTTAAGGCTGCGTTTGAAATCAGTGTAAAACGTCATCGGTATAAAAATATATTAATGACGTTTTACACTGAACCATGAAAGTGACCGTTACTTTTTGAAAATGGCGATGTAAAGTTTTACATTGATAAAATCAATATAAAACTTTAGAACTGATGGTCCACTCAATCCAAACGAATGCAAAACTGAAACAGAGTGGAATTTTATATTGATAATAATTATACTTTTTTTTCAAATGCCTACAAAACCAAATCGATATAAATTTTACATAGCATCCAAATACAGCCTAAACACTGAAATTTCTTAAAAAACTTTCCCTAACTTTGTGTTTTGCTATTATTTTTGTATCAACCCAAACGTAGCCTTTGGGTACAAAAACAGGGTGTAGACACCTAAGAGGAGTTCCCATAGAGCATTCCTCGAGTCATTTTCACAGCACATCACAGTTTCCCATCGATAACAAAAACAAAATACATGTAGGGAGATAGTCCCAATGTAAGAATTAATATCGAATGTGCTGTAAGATTGGTGTGAAGGAGCAAATCGGGTCTCTATTCCCTAGACTATATTTGATGAGGTGGACACTGGACATTCACATGTAAACCAATGACATTTATATATTTCTGCAGTTGCAACTGCAACTTCAAAGTTTTCCATTTAAAACAACTTCATATCAAAATAATCCAATTCCCACACAAAAAAAAAGCCTAAAAATAAAAACTTTAATATAGTTAAGTAAAGGTGCAACGATGGAAAATGAAGACTTTCCACGAGGTTGGATGTAACTACACGGCAGTTGAATTAAAACGAAATCAATACATATGCATGCAACAGCTTAGAATCATCGTCACCGTCCAAAAATTAAGAAATAAATAAATAATTTTAATAGGCATATTCCGTAAAACCTAAGTGCTATTATCTCATTAGCCAACTGGATGGGAATTCGATCAACTGTCCAAATAATGCACCTAACATTTTTATTAATTATTATTACTTTAGGATTATATCCTTTCAAATTCCTGTTTTGCATCCACTAGACAAATTCTGATTCCGGTTCCCGGTTATTCTAGATGCTTAACTCTTAATCCTGACCTATATGATTAAAATATTAATTAATTAATATTAAAACAATAGTCGAAAATATATGAATTAAGAAACAGGTATATTTTAAAGATTCGCTTAAACTACAAGAAACTCTAAATTAACCAGTATATTGTGAAATAATTATTTAATAAATTGTCGCATATAATCTTGTTATATATAATATAATAATAAGATCTCTTTTTTTCTTTGGTTGGTTTGTTTCCATATTTATGAGCCGGCCGTGGATATGGGCCACGCAATTTATTTAATCGAGATGGTACAAAAGGCCACACCAAACTTTATACTATAAACAAACGTGTTTTTTGGGTAAGCGACGAAGCAACAAAACACGGAGATATGGTTGTTGCCTTAGCTTCTAAGACCTATCATGGGAAACAATAGATTATTTGATAAGTTGATGTGATTCTATGTAGTAAGTAGTAACCAACTAAGTTCTACGTTATTTAGTTGTGTCACCAGCGGCTTCAGTCCATTAATTTTCATTCTTTGATCCTTCATTTTTCAGTTGTTAGATCCTTTTATTAGGGTCGGTGACTTGGGGCCTACAATCCAACCCTCAAGCTGTAATACACTTGCGTTCCTGGTAACCTGCGTTGGATGTATGAAATCACCAGCGCCAGCTGCTAGCGGTTGCACCTTGTCCCTGTCTGAGTTGAATTCATGACAGGCGACAGCCCATCACCTATAACAGAATGTTTCAAAAATTCATCCGGAATTGGAATCTTTTACTCATTGGCTTTTGACCATTTAGTTTAAATGAATAGTCCGTTTTAATTTAAAAAATTAAAAAGCAATTAAAATAAAAAAGGTTAAAACTGTTGTTCGGGTCAAATGCGTTAATGATTCGACCGCCTGAATTAACGAATTATTAATCAAATCAACAGTTTTTAGTCAAGAAACAGGTTAAAAGTGAAATAGAATCCGTTGTCTGAATGGTTTCCAGGTTGAGTAATCCGGTTGCCTGGATCAACGACAGTTCAAAAACATTAAATATACATTGTGAACTGGTTTAGTGCCTGCTTAAGAGGGCTGAAGCGTATCAGCTTCTAACTTCCCAAGGTGGACTTCTAGCTTGCCTATAAATCATGTTTGGTGATAAATCCAGACAGCCCAAATTGGGGCAGACTGGTTCTTTGAATCCAATCCAGGATGCTTAATTAAAAGCAGCTTACTGAATCTTTAGTTCAGCCCTCCCAGACTTAGCAGTTGACAGTTCTGGCCCTTAATCTCATTAGCTTATAGGCTGGAATGCTAAAATCAGAATGAGAGCCATAGGATATAGGACCACTAGGACCAACATCCTCAAGCCAAAGCCTAGTTCATTTATATGCCAGACCTAAATCTTGGGATAAAGCTCAGTTTATCTTAAGTTGGGCTTGGTCCCCACTCCCCATCAATCAAGAAGCTTGAGGTAGCAGCATTGATGGGTTTGCTCATGTACTAAAATCAAATCCCAGCCAAAATATCGTAGTACTACTTTTTAATATAGTATATATAAATTTATAGTCCTCTTTATTGGATTGGACCGAAATAATTACTCTGATCAATTCTCCCGAAGGTCGTAACTATTTCCATTTGAAGTAAGGCTGAGAGCTAAAGACAAAAGCTAAACAGAAGAGAGGCATTTTAGAGACTGCTGGAGCTTTGTCCTTTGCGATTAAAAATCAATCGGTGTTGGAAAAGCCAGATCAGGCCGGGCGGTCAAACCTATGAACCAGACAGCTTTCTGGCTACTGTTCTTGCATGGTTTGACTGGGCATTCAAACCTCAAACCAGTGATTGTTACAGCTTTCCAGTTCGACGTCCAGTCCGGTTTGTGCAACAGCCAATACTGGATTAAAACGCTCATCAGTCATCATGGTCAGTTTCACATTTCAATACTAGCAAGTAGCAATCTCCCTTTCAGTCCAATGAGAGAACTCAGAACAGGGTCCCATGTACACGTGGCAAACCGAAGGCTTTGGCGAGAATCAAATTATTGGTGTACTCAAACTCAACCCGGCTATGAAAATGATGTAAGAAGCATGGACCCATAGTGCAGGGCCAGGGGGAGTCGTCTTACACTCTTACTAGAGACCTCTCTCATAAGTCATAGACTCGTAGCAACTTCAGTGGCTGAATTAAACGACCTTTTTGTTCTTTGTCTTTTAGTGGACAAATTGATTAATCATATATCGAAGATATTTTAGCGAAATAAGCTATTCGATTCAGTCACTTCAGCCATTATTTCAATAGTGCCAGCTATATCCGACTCCGACTACGTGTTAATCATTCAAATCATTATCATATTTCGCAAATTAATCTATAGTCTAAACAGACTTAATTAAATAATCATTTGATATGGATTTTAATATAAAATCTAAATGTATAAATAAATAAATAATAGGTCTGGAGACCGGAGGCCCTGAGCGAAGGCTGAAACAGCGGTAATTGGTAAAATAAATAAATAAATGAGGAAAACATGGATTACTTTAATTGAAGGGTAATGATTGTAGATGGAACAACGATCGGAATCAGAGTAAGTCAGCCGTCTGGGGATGGTTGTCAGAAAGCCAAACCTCTTTCGAGATCCACGTGTCGATTTTTCTTGGGTTTTCTCGCCCAAGTTTCGTACTCCATCCAATCAAATCCCGCCGTTGATTAAGCTAGGGGCTTACCTATCTCGAGGCCTCTCCTGTTCTTCTCGCATCTCCACCTCTGAAACTCTTCTGCCTAGCGTGTTGGATAAAGCCCCCCTCGTCAGGCTACCTCTGTAGCCACTTTTGCATTTGCTCCTCCTGTTCATTATTACGAAAATGCCACTCGCTTGGGTTCTTTTGTTTTCAAGCTACACCTACACAGCCTACAGATAATGAAATAAATAAATAATTAACCCCCATTGTTTTAGCTTGCAAGCAAAACATTATTATACAATTACAAGACACGGATGCCGGTCATCGTTTGACAAAGTTGGGTCAACAGAAGCAACGGCGGTGGCACAAAATGTGTACTTGGTGCCTTGTTTGCTGGTCCCACTGTCTAATCACACCCCCCAGTAACAAGGTGATGGTGATGTTGATTAGGTCATTTTCCTAGGATATAAGCGTATCAGATGATGCAACTTATCATTAAAAAAACAACGGTATATCAGTATATCAGATGATTTCCTACGGCTACCCTTTTTTTCCCCTTCTCCTTTTATTACGGGCCAGTGTATAATTACCATCTTGCCCATTATTTCTTTTTGAGTTGAGACTCAGGAGGAGTTTGCTTCCAGCCTCTATTTTACTAATTGTGTGTATGTGAGGACGTCACAATCCAAATAAGCCAAAACGGGATGGCTGACTCAAGTGGCAACAGTTAACTCAAGTGGTTAATTACTAATTATTGTGCTAACCTCAATTATTAACTATGCTTTATATTAAAGCTTAGATTAAAGGGAAAAAAATATATTATATGGTGCACACTGTGGTCTTCCAGATCTTCCGATGCTTTTAAGGATGAGAGAGATAGAAAGGAGGGAGGTTGAAGAAGAGAGAAGCAATGGGGAGAGGGAGAGAGAGAGAGAGAGAGAGGAAGGAGGTTTAAGAGAGGTTTAGGTCTACCTACTGGTAGTTAGAGATTGAACACATTAACTGCAACAACACCAACAGTCCAACACCAACAACGGCAAGAACAACAACAACCGGAGAAGAGAAAGATAAGAGGGAAAGAGAACAAAAAGAAAGTTTTTGATTTACGGGTGCTCTACTGCTCTATGAGTCTATGATATGTGGGAGCATTTTTAGGGGGGGGTTCTGTTTTCGTGGGGAGAGGGGCTTGACTGGCTCACGTGGAAAAGATGGAATGATGGACAGAGAATATATGAATAAAAAAAAGAGAAATTAAAGCAAGAGAACATCAACATAATTGGTGTGTCTGTTCTTTTAAAATTCTTTGTGTTTCAAATATTTTTCTTTTGATTGTTGTATCTGTTCGATGAAAAGGGGTTATTGTTTTGAATCTCGGGATTGGGTTGTCTCCGGTTTGGGAGGATTGTTTCAGCGCACCGGTTGTTATTTTGAGTTTTCCTGCTCCCCACGAGAGATACAACGCTTTCGGGTTTTCAGGTAATTTTTTTCCTTAATTTTTTTGTTCGTTATTTTCGTTTTGTGTTTCATAGTTTACGTGAAAATGTCTTTTCTTTTCTGAGTTTATGATGTGGGTTACTGGTTAACGACATGATGATGTTGATGATCATCGGAAGGCAGAAAAAAATATTGTTCTTTTAGTGTGTTTCTAGCATTCTTTTAAAAAATTTTTGTGTTTGCGCGTCTCTATATTGGGTTTGGGGAAACGCTAGGTATCCTGCTCAGTTTGATTGTCTGTGATTTTTCTGTTTTGGGACTATTTAGAATCTGGCATTTGGATTGAATGTTTCTGGGTTTCTTCATTACCCTTTAAAGTTCAGGATAGCGGGGATTATGGATTGTTGCTTTTATATATTTGTTTAAAATTTCAGTTTTCTTTGCTTTGATGGAGATTCGAGAAATGGGTTTATCTGCTCCTTTCTCTCTTTCTTTTCTTTCATTTGTTCATAATAGGGGTTTCCTGGGTTATAGCTGCTGGGTTTTCCCTCCCTCTGGATACTTTTTATCTTACAACTTCTTCTGACAGAGACCCGGATATATATTCCTTAAAAAAGCAGATAAAAAAAAGAAAATACCATAAAAAAAGGTTTGCTGGAGGCCTATCTTTTGATATTTGAGTGATCTCCTTTGTTTATATCGATATAAAAATCCTCCCCAACTATATTTGTGAGAGCTCCGGAAGGTCCCTGTAGCTGCTCATGTGTTCAATCATTGTCTCTTTCTTATGTTTTTATCATGTTTTCTTTTTCATAAAACTCTAGGTGGTTTTACTCAAAAAGCGAAGACAAAAACAAGTCTTAAGCATTTTCAATCAAATTTTTAAGATTTAAATGGTTTGATTTTCTGAAGATCTTTCTGGAAGTTGTTCTTAGCTGATAATATTTTTCTTGGACATCATCATCATCAGGACGTGGAGCAACAACAAAGTCCTTATCACAGCACGCTGGTAAATGATCTATCCTTCATCTTTGGCTCCCCGACTCGGAAGTTTCCGACGTTGAGGAAGTAGAACGATGGCTACTTATTTCCCCAGTTCGAGCAATCAAAGAGAAGTCATGCCGAGCCTTTATTTAAGGGACCCTGTGCCTGCTTCGTTTCCTGATGCGCCTGTTCTTCCTGGTAACATGATGATGTATCTGAATTATCCTTCTTCTGCTGGGTCCTATACGGATGCCTTGGCTGGAAATTCTCAGCCACAGCAAAATTGTGTTGAGCTCCCATCTGTGGGAGCTTCTGAGTCAACCCCATCACAGCAAGGAACTCTGTCGGACTTTGTTGGTTCTCAATTTGGGGAGCAAACGTATAGTGTATGGAGGGATGGGAAGAATGAGATGTCATTCATGCAGTCGGCGGGTGGTCCAACAAACATGCAATCTCTTGGTGCGCAATTAAACAGTGGGGCAGATGATCTGGTTCGTAGCTCTGTTACTGAAGATCCTCACATGGGTATGCGTACGCAGGTAGGCATGATACCTGGTGGACAGAACTTACAGGGACAGGGATTGTCCCTCAGTCTCAGCACGCAGATCCCATCTGCCATTCCAATGCCTTCATTCCAATACCGGAATCATAACCCTGCCTTGTCTTCACTGTTGAGTTCCCATCAGTCAATATCAGGAGATGGCGGCAGCAGGACCAGCTCGTGTAGAGATGACGAGAACTCTCAAAGCAAACAATCAAGAAATGCTGAATACTTGCAACCCGGTATTCCTGGAGGCAGTAGCAATGTTATCAAGGGTGAAGGATTGAATAACTTTCAATGCTTAATGGGCCCCAAACTGATCAATTCCGATCCATCTCCTTATGGAATGTCAGGCTTTGCAAGTGTCATTCCCAACTCAAAATACCTCAAAGCAGCGCAACAACTTCTTGATGAAGTTGTTAATGTCCGTAAGGCCTTGAAACAGGCGGAGGTTGACAAACAGCAAAGCTTAAATCAATTTGGTTTAAAAGGATCCAAAGAGACTGAAGGTGAGTCAAAGGGTGGCGCTTCATTACCTTCCACAACTGGGGTTCCTTCAAACCCTCAAGAGTCATCTACTAGCTCCTCTGCAGACCTTTCACCTGCTGAAAGGCAGGATTTGCAGAACAAAATGACAAAGCTTTTGGCAATGTTGGATGAGGTCAGTCCAGCACCTTTGTTCTACTATTTACTGGCTTCCCTATTTAGTATTTCCATTCGCTTGACACTTGAGTTCATATTATTATTTATTTCCTTTTCATGTATGTCAACACATTCTACTGTATAAATACTGAGGATGCAAATTTAATAGAAAACAGTTTTTCATGTTTATTTAACAAGAGGAGATGTTTATTAGCAGTATCATCTTATCACTTGTCTAAAATAAATCTGTTTTTAGAGCAGTAAATTTCCTGCACATTTGCAGACTCTTAAGTGAGAATAAAATTTCTTTTTTTTTTTTTTGAGCTTTCTAGGAAAGAATAAATATGTATAAGAAGCTCTATATCGAGGTAGTAAATAAAAACTGTGGTTTCTGATTTTCTTTTGCGAGAAATTAGGCACACAACATGCAAGAAATTTTCTGCTCTATTTCAGGGGAAAGAAGTTTAGAGGTCCAAATGGAACTAGTTACTGATAAGAAAGAATTTGCGGATGATTTGCTCCAATTGAGTACAATATGATGAAATTAGGTTGTTAAAGTTACTGACAAGAAAAGATCTGAACGTTTCAACAGTAACAATGGTTTTATTATCAGAGTGCCAGCTAAATTTATTTTAGGTTACACTGGTGTCCCTGAAAACCCAAAGTGGAAGTGATTACTCAATGGTATGATCTCTATTTTTTGATCTCTGGTGTCTGAATTTGAGATTTCAACCGGAGTTCAGATGTTCAGGTAGTCATAGACTCATAGTTTAGGTAAACATTTGTTTATGAATCTAATTCCCACTCAATTATTCACTTTGGGATGACTTTGTAAGGCATTAATTTACCATTTTCAATCTGAAAGCACAAGTTCGTTGCCTTTAGTACTAGATCTTGTGCTTTTCAAGTTTACCAAAGGAACAAACAGTCAAACATTTTATTTTAGGTAATGGAAACCAACTGTTGCACTGCTGTTATTGGCTGAAGTTATTCCACATATGTCCTAAAACAAAAAGGGGAGGGGATGTACATGAGGAGCCCCCATACAAGTCGGTAGAGCAAAAAAAAGTACATAAACAACAGCCCTACCAAAAGGATGGAAGACTATTTGCACCGTACAAACAATCCCTGTCTATACCAGATGTAGCCAAAAAATCAGCTGTTTGAGATTTAAATTCCTTGGAATCCATCTTCAGTTGCTATGATTACTGATGCTTAATATCATTATAAGCCTTGAAGTCCACTAGATAGAAAGATAAATAGTGGTTACATTCTGATGAATTTCCTGGTTTCTGATGTTTTAACATAACTCAAACTAGATCAAATCAATATTGATTTAAATCCAACTTATCAAAAAAAAAGACTGATTTATCCACTTTCTATTCTTTGATGCATTTGGGTTGATCTTTATTTCATTATTACTGTAGGAATGGGTTTAATTGGTTTAAAGAGTCATATTTGGTTTTAAGAATTTTATTATAGTATATTACCAAAAAAGAGAATTTCATTATAGTAAATATTTGTTCTTAGAGAAGTTGAAAATTGAAATTATAAGCTCAATAATTCTGACCTGATTTGCTGATAAAAAAAAAAAAAACTTCTGACCTGATTTTTGAAGGTCAAGTTTGCTTGTTTTTATTCTAATGGCAAGGTTTTTTAGTTACTTATACAATAAGGACACGATATTGCATGTCTGATGTGATTTAGAAAAAATGGCTATTTACAAACAGAATATCAATTTTGAGAATATCAAGTAATAAAATTTTATTTTAAATTGGATTTTCCATATGCATTTTTTCTTTATAATTATAGTTCTTCTTAGTTGTTGGAAATTAAAGCCTTTAGAGTTGAAGGAAAATGCATTATAATTGCGTTTTCATGTTGATCTGCTGAATAATGATTAGTGTTGGTGAATTCTCTTGTCAGAAATTTCTCTAAAGATCTTTATGTCCTCTTTTTTCTTGATTGTCTTCTATTTTCTTTTTCTTTTTCTTTCCTGTTTCTATTCTGTCATCTGATCAGATAAATATTGTTTCTATGCTCTAAATTTCCATATTATCTGACATATTACTTGATCATCCATAAACCTTTGCAGTTGTATTTCATCCTTGTATCCCTATCTGGTTACTACTTCTCTCACATTTATCTTCACATACCATCCTAGACATATCGAAAATCCTTATTCACCCTGAAATATTCACTTTTTCACTACAAATTCATCCTTAGGTGAATATTGAGTTTCTCCTCCATATATCTGGTATCACCAACAGTTTGGATAAATAACTGTTCAATGATGTTTCAATTTTCTAGTTTAAGTACACTATTGACATTTCAACTCAACTTAACTAAGCCCTGCCTTGTCCCAACTATATCATTTAGCTAGTTACACTATTAAAAACTGATTGTAGTAAATGTGAATGGTTGTTTAGACTTTAAATCAATTTAAACCTTTTCTTTTAGAATTATTCAAGTGTTTCATTTTTTGTCAGAATCCTTTGGAGGCTAAGACCACGAAAAATAAAATGTGCATTCCTTGTATTCTTTACAACAGATAAGTCATAGGATTCAATAATCCCTCCCCCCTTCCTGGAAGGTAAGTAGGGGGTGAAAAGAAAAAGGAAAATGAAGAAAAATATCCTTCTGTTTGTGCTTGTAAAAATTACATTGACATTTCTCTGACTAACTAATTCAAAACATATTAAAAGATAATTTTCCTAGAAAAAAGCATATTATGATGATTCTTCTACTCATTCCTTGGCAGCTGTTATGCTAGATTACCCTCAGATGGAGAAAATAACTCATGGTTTCTTTCTGCCAATTACAAAAAAATCAGGATTTCATAGCTGCCTAGATAAATTGTTAGTGATTACTGATCTAGCAATAATATTGTAGAGTGGTTTGATTGGAGGACTCTACCACCATGTGGCCTCTGATTTCTCTTTTTGATAATTAACGATCATCCTATTCATAGAAAGAAGAACTTTTCATGTTGTTGGTGGAATTGTTATTAAGGCTGCATTTGGATTGCAGGAATAAAATTTAAATCTGTTCCTGCCTTGATTGTGAAGAAATGAAATGAATATCCGCCGAATTTTTTTCTTGAAGGTCTACTAGAGTGTTGAATTCACTGCCCTTTTCCACGTTTTTCCAAATTCCATTGTGTGAAAGTGCATCCAAATGATGGAAACTGGAAATATGTGGAATTTGACAAATCTTGTTCTGCTTCCAATTCCAAATCCACTCTAAACCTAAACGTTCTGCCAAATCCAATTTAAAAGACAACTCATAAAAGCCCTGAGTTCTGCCGAGAGGAACTTAAAAAGGTTAAGTCACATGTGTTGCATTCATCATGTTAAACATTTTGTAGATTTGGTGCATTTCATATATTTTTTAAATTAATATTTTTATGATGGGGATGGTTATGGTTGTTGTATTCTTTGGTGAAGGAATCTTCCATGGTAACTTACTTTGGGTTCAAAAAGGACCCTATATAATTCATGCCTCCACCCTTTATTCTTGGAACATTTTTTTATCTGTCATTCATAGAACAAATTTTGGCCCAAAACATATTGTCACATGTTCAAGATAATCCTTTTTTAGGGTCATCTTTTAATTTAAAATTTTGAAAGTTTGACTGGCTATTATTACTTATCAAATGGGCAAAACTTCAATACAAGGTTGAGTTTAGGGTTGATGTGCATGGCCTATTGGTGTCCCCTATCTTATCAAAAGATCTGATTGACCACAGGATTTTGCATGGCATAAAATGTTGAAGTTGTCGTGGGAGGATTTTCTATTTGACCCAATTAACAAACCTTATATAAGTGCATCTTTCAGTAATATTATGTTTCTACACCAATGTTTAGGGTTCCTTTCGTTTCATCAGAATTTGCTAAGATTAACTTGGCCATGCGCCCATGCCTAAGATACAAAGCCTTTTTATCTATATTGAATTTAAGCTAATGTTTTAAGTTCCTTTTCCATTGACCAAAACTTTGGAAATTCCCATTTGCTTAATATCTGAGATAAACATTATCTCTATATTGATTAATATTTTTCCTTGGGGGGGGGGGCGGGGAGGGGGGAGGTGTGATTTGAAACTTGCCATGTAATATTCTTGGAATATTTAATTTCTTTGACATAGTGTATATAAAAAACTTGACCATAGCATATTTATGACCAATGAGAACTTATTTGTTAGTGGGCTTTGATGAACTTTATATTGATAGAACTTGTGAGGTAATGGTATCAATTAATTAAGCACAATTAAGTGATATTTAGTTATATGGATATTATTTTCTTAGTGATGAAAAAAATTAATAGAATGTATACATTCTCCTCTTTGGAAATAAAATACCTTGCTATTTTTGGCAGTATAGCATGGCTATGAACTTATGATGTTGATTGCTCTGATTGCAGGTTGACAGAAGATACAGACAGTATTATCATCAGATGCAAATCGTTGTATCATCTTTTGATGTGATTGCAGGGTCTGGGGCTGCTAAACCATACACAGCTCTTGCCCTCCAAACAATTTCTTGCCATTTCCGCTGCTTGCATGATGCAATCAATGATCAGATTCGTGCAACCCGTAAAAGCCTTGGGGAACAAGATACCTCAGCAAACAGCAAGGGGGTTGGAATAACTCGCCTCCGCTACATAGACCAACATATCAGACAACAGAGGGCTCTTCAGCAGCTTGGTATGATGCAACAACACGCTTGGAGGCCACAGAGGGGCCTGCCCGAGAGTTCTGTTTCTATCCTTCGGGCATGGCTGTTTGAGCATTTCCTTCACCCGTAAGTCCCTGTAAAACCTCCACCAGACATCGAAGTACTGCGGATCAGTTGAGGTCTTCTAACTTTCTAATTTTAATGTTCTCCAGGTACCCAAAGGATTCAGATAAAATCATGCTAGCTAGGCAAACAGGCTTGACCAGAAGTCAGGTAAAAGATGACATGGAAAAATAAAGGCCATCTGTTAGTTGCATCGTGAGGAATGTCTTAAAATAATGATGTATTGAAGTATAAAGGACAAAGCTGGATCCACCATTCAGTAGTTTAGAAATTGACATCCTATTTCAGAAATTTCTTAGATAGACCTATTGAATGAGGGCCACAATCATTATGTCATCTGTTGCTTCATTTTCTACTCATGCTATCTAACATTTTCTCTCTTGTTTGGGTTAGGTCTCAAACTGGTTTATTAATGCCCGAGTACGACTCTGGAAGCCCATGGTTGAGGAGATGTACAAAGAAGAGATTGGTGACACTGAGATGGATTCAAATTCTTCATCTGAAGCATCCAAGGCAGTGAAGGATGATAATAAGGCCCCTGAAGATAGGGAGGAAGAGTTGCAGCCAAGTGTGAAGTCCAACACAGCCAATGAGAAAGGTCGTCTTGAACAAATCCATGATTCAAAATCTGATACTTCCCCAGATGTAGAAATGTCTTGGCCCACAGCAGGTGCTGCCCTCCAGGATAGTGCTTGCAAGGGTGATGGCACTGACTATGGAAAAATGAAATTAGGGGGGAACCTAAGACCCAGTGTGGATGATTGTAATAGCCTTTTCCAGGGAACACTTGTTCAATCTGATAGGAGTGGTGGTGGGAGATTTATGGAAGCTGCTGCTGCTGCTTATCAGATGACAGAGTTGGGAAGATTTGGGAGTGGTAGTGGGGTATCACTCACTTTAGGATTGCAGCACTGTGATGGTGGCCCACCCATGTCTAGTGGATCCCATCACGATTTTATTACCATGGGAACAAATGAGATGTACAATGCAGCGGCTTCTTCTGTGGGGCACGATGTGGCAGATTACGATTGCATGGATCCTGGGAATCGACGGCAACAGTTTGGCTCTTCCCATCTATTGCATGATTTTGTTGCTTGAAGTTCACCTGGCACAGTTATATGCAGGTGAAAATTGTAATTTCTTTAGGAAGAAGGAGAAAGAACAAGAAAAGAAAGAGGAGAATAATAATAGCTGGTACTAAGCTATTCCTTCTGGTATCATCCAACATGCTTGCAATCTTTCTGAAGAACCAAAAAAACAGTGGTTACTATATGAATATTGATATGGAAAACATAGTTGTAATATAACAAGAGATTGATGTGGAAGTAGCATATTTGTAAAGACAAGGTGCATGACATAATTTTTGTGTAATATGTTTGAAGGACTTGTACAATTATTTTCAACTGGTATTCTAGAGAAGAGATCATCTCATCCAGTGTTGAGGTTGCAAATGTAAGAAGGGTGGGTTGGCAATTGTTGATTGCGGTTTTGGTTCTGATAATTATCCTGATGCCTGTAGCACGGATGTTGCTACAGGATTAAAGGATCCAGCCATCCAGGGAGAGCTTCATGGGTTCAGGATTTACTTATATATGTTATCTTGAGAACTCCTTGTAATGTCGTTGATTTTTAAAGAAAGGCAACCCTAGGTGGGTGGGATCATCTAAATCCAATCAAACCCATTTCCTAAAAATGTATGACACGTGGCAAGATGGCACCCTCGACTGAAAATTCAGATTCTAGTTATAGGTAGTTGTAGCTCCAGATCCAAGCTGCTGCCATCAAACATTGATGAGTTACCAACCCATGCGAAATTATTTTATCATGTCTCACTCACTTCTGGCCTTTGTGTTTGAGCATTTTTTATCCTTTATTTAATGGGAATTTGGGAAATGATCGTTGGCCTCAAAATTTGGAAAGCTAAAAGTTTTCCAATGCATCGTTTTCGAGCTAACCAGTGATGTCTGATGTGCACGGTAGGGCTCACAGCGTGACCGCTCCCGCAGCCGCAGGTCGCAGGATAATCACCCTTCTCCAATCTCCATGATTTTGTTACCAGATCATTATTATAATTAAAACGGGACCCACAAGATCCCATATATATGAACAACAAGAATACGGAATTAAGGCGAGATAATTGGTGAACAACAAGATAGCAATCATTACTACTCTCAATCAGACTGGAATCAATTCCCTAACCAGAAAAGAAATCCACCGATCAGTCCATCACCAACAACAAAATAGAATCTCTCTCTCTCTCTCTGTGTAAATATCAATATATCATCACAAGTTAGCCAAAGTGGAAAAAGCTACATATTCCCATCTGGGGTTGCTGATACAGTGATGCCCTACAGACCCACAAGAAAACAATCTTAGAACTAGGATAGTGAATAGGATAACCCACTTTTTCTCTAGCCTTCTTTTATAAGGAAACAAACAATTTGAAATTTCGAATGATGTGTAACACATTGAGCTTCTCTTATATGTGACAAACAAACATCCAGGGGGAAATAAATATTGGAACAACCCATTGGGTCCGCTTGGGAAATGCTTCACGTCTCCCAAAGAAATGTTTCCGCAGATGTTAAAGCTGAAAGATTGATCTCTTTCGCTTGTTGGTTTATGTCTGAGACCTCTGTTGCGTGGGAAGATGGGGACCATTTTTTCTGCCATTTTCTTTGCTTCTTACCCGGCTTTGCTTGTTTGACGGATTTGCAGGTATCTGTGTCTCTGGAGCATCAGCGAGCAAGCGCGAGCGAGCGAGCGAGCGAGAGAGAGAGAGATGATGCTTCATGTGTGTTTGTGTACGTGCATTGCCTTGGAATGATTAGCAGCTACGGTATTTCTGTACTTGTACACTAATTGTTTGCTTGCTCCTCTCTCTCTCTCTGGTTAGTAGAGAAAACTCGTTTGTATTTAGATTTTTCGTGGATTTCTTGAAAGCGAGGACTTTTTGTTTCAGTTTTCAACTTCATTTGTTTGTCCTTAGCAGCTAACACCTAACAGGTTCCTTTTTTTAAAACACTTCTTCTAGTCGGGTTCGTTGAGTGGGTGAATTCGTGTTCTCTGTTTCACCTATACTAGACTGTTTTCGTTTTTCTTTAGTTGACTGTTATAGCCATTCAGTAGATGGAGATGAGTTTGCCTTCTTGTCTCACTTGGCTTTTCAAAACTAAAACCTTTTAATCTTTAATGGGTATGTTTGTTTCCTCAGTTAAGCGACTCCAGAGCTCTTTTGGTTCTCGATTTCTGAGGTTTTTCAGCAGACAAACATCGCTTTCTCACCTGGGAGTGACTCTCTAGAGCTCCCTGCTTGATTTCTCAATGTCCCATCTCTGAATCCTTGCATTTCTTGCTTTTAATACTCCACGATCGCTTGTTAATTCCATGATTGCTTCGGTAATCTAACACTAGCAATAGGAATGTTATTTCTTCAAACTCTGAGTGCTCCTTGTCAATCACAATGCACAAACAAGTAAATCCCCATTCATTACAAAGCTCTGGTAATTAACAATCGGTTCTCTGCGCTGAAATCTCACTACTCTTGCTTCTAAACCTGTTACAATGGTTTCACAAGACTCATCCACTGACCCAACTTCAAGTGTTCTACACCAATTCATTATTTCGGACACACTTTCAAGCCGAACCCATTTCGAAGACAATGACTTTGCTACTTACCAATCTGATGGAAGAAACGGGAATTTGTTCCCTCAATCCCTCGGTCTACTGCCTAGCATTCACTTCTCTAGATCAATAGAGAAGTTTCAAGCTCCCGTCATATCAGAGGATTCTGAGACTTGTAGTAGGAGACATTTGATGATAGCAAAGGAGACTGATCCCCAGAGCCAAAGATTGTCCCTCAGTCTTGGTTCTCATTTTCCACCCCACGTTCTAGTTCCTTCAAGACCCTTGAATTCAGATCTCAGAGGCGGCTCTAGCTATTTAGTTGCTGAAGAAGAATCCAGAGATGATTATCCCTTTATTGGTAATACCTATACCACATCTTCGACCTTGCAGAACCAAGGTTGTTCCACTTCTTACGAAATAGAATCGTTTGCTACCATGGTTGGGAATTCTAGATATCTGAAGCCAGCTCAGTCCCTGCTTGAGGAGGTTGTTAGTGTGGGAGGCAAGGCTATTGGTTTCAGTTCAGAGAAATCTCTTAGACGGTTAGCCCACAATAGCAGAAGAGGACCACTCGGAGTTGTTTCCCCAGAATTGCAAGCGGGGTTCTGCAGTAATGGGTTTTCGTCTGATCTTCAAACTAAAATTGCCAAACTCAATGCTTTGTTGGATGAGGTAATTTATCAGTAAGGCTGTTCGAACTTTTCTTCTGCTCTCTATCCCGGTCACTAGAGTCTAATTAGCATTTGATGAATTGTCTGCCCATTCCCAGGTTGACAGCAGATACGAGCAGTACTACCATCAAATGGAGGAAGTGGTATCATCGTTCGAGGTGATAGCTGGCGTAGGGGCAGCGAAGTCTTACACTGCTCTAGCGCTCCAAGCCATGTATAGACACTTTCGCAGCTTAAGAGATGCCATAGTTGCTCAAATAAATGTGGCAAAAACCCAAGCCTCTCAAGATATACCAAGAATTCATAGCGGTCTTTCGCAGCTTAGTTTGTTTGATCAAGAAGGAAGACATAATCGAGGGTCTCTTCAACATCTTGGGATGATACAGAGCCAACGGCAGGCATGGAGACCAATAAGAGGGTTGCCGGAAAACTCTGTGGCAATCCTTCGCTCTTGGCTTTTCGAACATTTCCTCCACCCGTAAGTGCTTGAACCCAGTAAGGGTATTTTCTTGTTTTCAGCCTTCACAGTTTTTTTTTTTTTTTTTCAGCTACTTATTGTTGGTTGTCACTTCTCACACAGTTATCCAAATGACTCCGAGAAGCTAATTTTGGCATCACAAACAGGATTAACAAAAAACCAAGTAATTTTCAGACACCCTGTTTGCCTGCTTACTGAAGTGAAGCTCTAGAGATGGCATACATGTTTTCTAGGATTTGTTGATTCTGGTAAAAATGTGGGATTCTTCATGGTTATTTCAGGTTTCAAATTGGTTCATAAATGCCCGAGTTCGGTTGTGGAAGCCTATGATTGAAGAGATGTACAAAGAGGAGTTTGCAGAGTCTTCAGAGGATCCAAATTCGTCATCAGGAAACGTTTCTACAGCAAGGAATGATGCCCCAGATCATTCATGAATGTATGGAGAAATTGAGAAAGTGACCAATGTTGTTTGAGACTTGATAACAGAGCTGCTTCACTACTGGGTAAATGGAATGGTGCAGTTATCTATACTCATTGGAAAGCATTAGCACCGATGAACATGATGATTCGGCCAAATTCCAGTTATATCAAACCACCCCTTCATGTTCATCCAATCCCAGATGCCAGATGGAGTTGATGGCATGGTGTCGATAATGTTTCAAAATCATGTCGCAAGAATCAAGTGCTAAGCGTGTTAGCACGAATATCCAAATTGCAGTTTGTAGATGGGCATGTCTGGGAAAAGCATCCATGTACCCAGGCCAGGCCATATCAATTTATTCTTCTTGTAAGAAATTAGAAATAGCTTTCTTTTTTCTTTCTTTTATTTTATTTTTTATTTTTATAATAGAAACTAGCTAAAAATAGCTTTAGATGATTATCTGCACCCTTTTTTAAGATCATTAGTTCATATTACCATTTAGGGGGTGCTCGACTTTGTGATGTAGGCAGTTAGTATTTGTTTTCAAAAACAAAATCAACCATGTTGCAAACCCCTTAGTTTACCGGCAGTCCAGCACCCTTCATCATTCTCATGCACAAGAGTGTCTAATCATCTTACATCATTAATCAATCATGGACTTCAGTTGATTGTTCTGTGTTTTTCATCACATTATTCACCGTGTTGAAACTTCTTAGAACACGAAACATCATCATGGAGTTTCTCAAATCACCCTGAGCGTGGATTCCTGTGTAAAGAGTTGATTTGATTGTTTTTTTGGGAGAATGAGGTTCAGTCCAAGGTCAGAATTTTTAGACCTAAAGTGTAGTTGGGATAGGTGTCAGCTCGGAATTGATGCCAATTCACGGGTGGGCATTGATATATAGAGTGGAGGTATTTGACATTTTGAATATTTATATGTCTACAGTGAAATTCAGAAATTCAAAAATCTGCAATAGGCCTGCCTGTCCATACTTTTCCATTTTTTTATTCACTCAAAAACATATACAACCAAATAGAAAATTACTGTTGAACTCAAAATGCCTATGTAATGCTGATGGGAAAGGATTCATACTAGAAACGCCAATGGTCTCAAACACTCAAAACAGCAGAAAAGCCCCATAGTCAAAAGGGAAAGTGGCACGGAGTTGCTCAAGTCATGCATACTGAGGTATGACGGGATTCCCTGCAAGCAAAGCTCTGCACACTCTAAAAGCATGAAAATTCAATGTACACTAAAACATCTCCCTATGAATTGAACATACATGCATTTGAAATATTTCTAATGTGTGACTGAATGTTATGTGAACAGAGCTTTTGCCCCAAGAATACGAGAATCTAAAAAAGCCCACTTTGTTTGATAAACTTTATTACTAATAAAAAAGGGATTGGTATTTTTGGTAAACCAAAATGCGAAAAGTTCCATCAAAGGTTGTAAATGACTTCGCCATAATATAAAAAATTGGGTAAAAGACTCAAACCTCCCCTTTTTGAGATTTATTCTAAATACTAAAACCTCCCTTAGATCTCCCCTCTTGGATGCATTAACCGTTATGTCTAACAGAAAATTTAAAAGGTCTAAAATGCCTTGCGATCTAGAGCAGTGATAGCACACCATTACTTTCGAGTGACTGAAATCACTTTGCCGTGCGGGTGAGACGTCTACTACTGTAGCACCAATATCACCACCAGCACCGACAATTGCAGTTATTGCCGAGAATTTACAGGCATTCTGATTATTAGTGCTCATCGAATATCTCTGTGTTACATAACCCTGATGTTGCTGGTTGTTTGATTGAGCCTTACACTTTTTTTTTTAGACCAAGCTCTAACTCTGCTTTCTGTTCTCTGTAATGGCTTCTACAAGTGCTCTAACAGCTCAGATTACAAACTTACATAATGTAAACAACCATAGAAGCACTGCTTGTTCCTCAATCCCCATCTGATTTCTGCAGAGAAAGATAAAGTTTTATTTAAAGAAGCATTGGCTGTGGTGGCATTGACCATGAAACATGTGGGAAGAGATGGATATTGGGATTTTGAAAAGTTCTGACGCAATAGTCACTAAATATGCTTCATATTCTTTGGTTGGTGTCCTATAGACATGGAATTAAAGGCCCCAATCTTCTTTTTGTTTTGTCAACAAACTAAATTCAGACAAATCTTGGCCTAGAAAGTGATCTGGGCATAATCAGAAATCCTTACATGTTTATAGTTTATTTGGCAGAAAAATAGAAAATAATGAGAAGAGTGTAGATACTCGCCAACAGCAGGAATTTTAGGAAACATGCAAAATCTATGCGAATTGTCCAAGTGGAAACAGTGTCAGTTCGTGATTTCGTGTATAGAAAGACCTTTCTGCAGCAGAGTTTGATGTTGTGAAGGCGAGCTAATAAAGGCAACACTATCAGGAAACTAGCAACTTGTATATGTACCGAGATCACTGAAGCTGCAATGGAATCAGGAGCAGAAAAGCTGTCTCTTTTGGATAAGAGGCATACAAAGATGCCCACCAGACAAGTGTTCGGGAAATGAAGGAGAAGACGAGTAACCTTGCTCAAAGCTTAAGTATGCCACAAGGCCTCAAAGGACTAAAGTGTAGATGGTATTCCCTGATGCCGTCAATTCATAGTCTCCAAATTTGTACACTAGCTAGATCAGAATATTGTCATTTGCATTATGACTATGCTGTTAGGACTTAGAATTGTATTTATTTCAATCCAAGTTTCCCTAAAAGAACTCAGGCGATTTTGGCTTTGAAAAAAGAAGGCCAATGCAATCTGAATTCAATATTGGACCAGACATGATCCATCCAGTTTGTTAGTCTGGATCTGCTTTTCTTCCATTTTATAACTAATCCCACTACTCCAGAACGCCTACTTGTTCTGACTTTTAAAAAGATACCTTCTGTATTGACTTAAATGGTTTTCTGTCTCTAAGAGTAACTTGTATAATTTACAATGTATGCCGATGTTTCAAAAAGAAATGAGAACTAATGGTTGTTGGGGTTTGCTGGAACTACTTCATAAACACTGCAACAGATTCATGGATATTATATCCACTATTCACTTAATTGTAGCAGATAAACAGTTACTGAGGCAACTCCTGGTTCCAAAAAAAGAAGGAAAGAATGGGGCAACTCCATGCGGCTCTGGAATCTTTGGAGTGAGTAAAGAGTTCCACATAAATCCAAAATCAAAGGATTTTCAGCATCACTAAGTTCCTCCAAGATTCAGGAATGCCATCCCATTGCCTCTCTTGGGGTTGCACTTTCTTTGATTGCACATCAGAAAATTCTAACTTTCTTTTGAACCTCCATAATTTATTTAAGGCATGCTTAGAACCTCCGGGTATTTGGGGGGAGCAGAGTCGTTACTTTGGGTTAAGATCAGATTTACCGAGAACAAACATCTCCAAATAAAATAAGTTAGACACAACGAGTTGAAGGCAAAGAGACATAGAAGGTCAAATTTGGATTTTTATAAAAAACTTACTTGCATGTGATGTCACATGTAAACGGATATTGACAGATTGGTAAGACGGGAGGTCTTTGTCTGATGACATCACCAACAGGGGAGGTCTTAGGGGAGGTTTCATTCATTCGTTGCAATAAAATATCTTCTTAAAAGGCAATGAAAGTTATAAAATCATTATTTTTTATGTGAGAAATAAGAATTTCAGACCCTAACATAGACTTGTTTGGACTTGCCTCGAGGGGCATGGTACAAAGGCGAGTCATAGAATCAAGAATGCAATATGTTTTACATCACATTAGCTAGTTGAAGCAATGCAATTAAGGAGAAAAAGAGATTGTGGGTTTTACATGCTTGAAAATGCTTTATATGTTTGCTTTTATTTTTAAATTTTCATTTGAATACGCTTTACATGCTATGTTTATGTATTTTAATTTTAGATAATAGGTTTTTTAAAACATTTATTTTAAAATTTAAGTTTATAATTTTTATTAACATTATGTTTAATATTTTTTTACAATTTTTTTGCATATTTTTTGAATTTTCAAACTTTTTTTTTATTTTTAGCTTTTTTTTTGTAATTTTGCGCATTTCTTAAAAAAGGCGTGCTCCTCACCTTGCGCCTTGCACCTCAGGTGCAAATTGGCCCTTGTGCCTTGTGCTTTTAAAACTGTTTTACCCTAAAAAAATTAATAAAAATCGGTCTTTTTTTTAAGGAAGTTAACAAATTTCATTAAAAGAAAAGGGGGTACACAAGAATGTGTACGAGTACAAAACAAGGGTCAGGCCCCTAAAAATTACACAGGAGGGAACTTGTCACAATACAATGTCTCCAGAACGGCACCTAGTTTTGCTAATCCATCCGCAATGGCATTTAAATCCCTTGGAATCCAGTACAGAGATGCGTTCTTAGAAGCCAATAGGTCCCTTGCCTCTGCTAGGAAGTGACCAAGTCTCCATGGTCCAGCCTCCTGTTTTCCTAACCATTTTATGGTGTTTGCTGAGTCGCCTTCGATGGAGAAGTTCTGAATGCCCAGTCTGTTGACTAGGCGAATCCCTGTGAGAGCTGCTAACACTTCTGCTTTTGTAGAATCAGCTATACCAATTGGTCCACTGTACACCCAGCAGATGAACCCATTTTCGTCTCTTAGGCTATGTTTGGTTTGAAGGAAAAGGTAGGGAAAGGAAGGGAAAGGCAAGGGAACCTATACAAGATTTGTAAAGGTTTTCTTACCTTTCCCTTTCTTTCCCTACTTTTTCCTTCAAACCAAACACAGCCTTAAAGTTCCCCCTATGCCAGCAACTCCAGGGCTACTCAATGCACTAATGTCAAAGCTTAGAGTCCAAGCACCTTCCCTTCTTATTGATGGAACCTTGGGGTATGTGGGGTAGAAGGGGAGGAGAACAGAAAGTTGACAACATTCCTGTTAAGGTCATTAACATTGATTCCTGTGAACACTTCTGAGCCAGAAGCCCACAAATTGCAGTGATAATTGATATGATGGATCAGCTCACTCTTGGATTTTACCTTGTTTTCAAACAACCGATTGTTCCTTTCTTCCCAAATTCCCCATAGCACAGCATGTAACACTATTTGCCAGTATACCTTACCTCTCTTGCTTAGACCTTTGCCTTGCCACTGGGAAATCAGGTCCTGAAGATGATTAGGAGCCACCCAGCTGTACCCAACTAGCTGTAAGTAGTTCCAGATGTTGCTGGTTACCTGGCAGTGTATGAAAAGGTGATCAGCTGTCTCCCCCTCAAGAAAACAGAGGATGCAGACGTGAGGAGAGATATAAAGCCTTCCAAGATTTTTCTTCTGCAGTAATTCACAGGTGTTTACTTGATTCAGACAGGCCTCCCAAACAGAAAAAAACACACTCTTGAGGGAACAAACTTACACCAGATCTTCTTGAAAGGGAAGAAACAGTCCCAGTCTCCTGCAACCAGAGCCTCAAGGAAAGAC